TAAAAATCATCAAGAGTAAATATGCTGTTTCATAACTGTCATGGAAAAAGACTTTGATTGAGGTTGAAGATGTTTAAGAGAGTTTGAGGTAAACCCTAAACAAAATTCAATGAAGCTATATTATTATTATAATAATTATTATTTGATGTTTATGGTGCAAAACAACTTTTAATGGCTAAGTGAGCGTAATCAAAATATCCAGTGCAACTTTGAGATCAGAAGGCCCACCTACTTGGCATATATATATATATATATTCAACCTTAAAAAATTGATTTTCATTATAGAAATTTTTTAAAAAATACATTTATTGATGTCTTTAAGAATACTCTCAAGAACTCAACAATAAGTTTCTTCTTGAAAGTCCATTGCTTTCAAAGACTTAGCAAAGTGGGGGTTTAACAATCAATTTTAAGCATCTCTAAATCCACATTAAAATTATTAGTCTAAACATGTCATTTTGTTTAATCTTATTGAGATTATGATGCTTATTACAGACAACTTCATTCCATCTAATGGCTCATAGGTCTTAAGTTATCTAAACATAGGGCTCTCCTTAAAGGAATTGAAACCATAAAGAACTTCTAGGAAGCTGTAAAACTCATGAGGTTGGATATGTTGACTTTTATCATGTTTTGAATGTCATTAACTTGTAATTGTACTTTTGAGAGGCCTTTGGTTGATTTTTAAGGCAGTTACATCGATCCAACATTCTTATAACTTTATGGCATAATAAATTATTTATTTTTGCTTGGAAACCACATAATATGCCTTGAGTGGACACTAGAATTACTAGCTATAAATTAAACATAAATCCAATAATTTGTTAATAAAGTTAAAAAAAAAAAAAAAAAAAAAAAAAAAAAAACAAAATGTCAAATTTTCAGAAGGTCACTAAGCACAAATTATTACACGAACAACTCATTTCTATTCGTATTCTGTTCAATCAATCACACGAGCAAATATTACATGCAACAACCACAAGTAAAGACGATGGTCTGAATAAGCCTCCATGCGCCTCATCTGGACAGTCATCCGGACGTGGACGTGCAGCGTGCAGCTAGCCGCACGTAATATTTTCTCCAGTGACACACAAAACATCACCAACTATTACCACAAAACTAAGCTAAAAGCCAACCTAGCATGTCTATCTCCCCTCACATCATAGAACAAGCATTGGGATTGTCATCACTAAAGATAGAAATATACCTCTCCACAGAGCTCCCCGGGCTCAACATGGCTTGAGGAACTTTGCGAACAAACCCTGATGGGGCCTTCTTATCATAAGCCCCAGCAACATAAGGGTAGAAAACCAGATTATGAGGAGCATAAGGCCAGAACTCAGCTACTTTCCCTGTGCTCCTCACCCTCTGCAAAACCTTTGCAGGCTCTACATGTCCTGTTACAGATACTCGGCCTTGATTTCTGTTCACATCCACTGATATTACATCTGCAAAATGAATTTTTTTTTTAAATAAAAAGCTCAGTAATTATGTAAAATTTGAAAAGAGCAATTTTTAGGGAGTGAAAGATCTTCACTTTTCATTGAGCGGACAGCATGCTTCACTCTTCGTTCACAGCCATCGCAGTCCATTTTAACCTTTATCTGCACAGTCTATTTTGTTCCCAAAAAGATGATAGAAAACTACTGAGTTGGAATATGTGCATAAGAAAATTATGCAGACAATGAAATATTTTTATAGATTGAATTTCGGCAATTAATAGAGCTTAGAGTGGGTGATTGTAGCTATTTGTAATTGTGTTTATTATAGAAAAAAAAATAGTGACAATTTTAAATATTTTATTTTTTCAAAAAGTTCAGAAACAACTTTCTCATAGAATTTTAAATATTTTATTTTTTCAAAAAGTTCAGAACCAACTTTCTCATAGCCGTCACATTTTAATAAATCTCGTTACAAAAATTAACTTTTTACAATAGATATCTTTATGAAACACCTACGAAGTAGTTTCTCAAAAAGAATCACGATGATGGTTTGAAACACAACGTAGGCAGACAACTGTCTCAAGCATCCTCTTATTTTCTTAGAGGAAACTTATGGTGTGTGTTGGGGACACAGTGTGGTCTAGAGGTCGTGCGATGCCGCACAACATTTTTTTGTGTCTGACAAAACTTTTTTTTTTTCTATTTTTTCATAAAGCTAGAGTGAAAAACTGTGTTTTCCAACTTGACCTGATTAGGGGCAATAATTGCTATAAAACTCCCGTCTAAGTTTTTGAAAGAATAAATTTGTAATACTCATAACAGTTTTTTGAACAACAACTTCTATAAACAGTTGCAGCAGCCCGGAACAAACACCCCTAAGTATCTCAAAGCTTACTTGGAGTGGCCTCTTTCTCTTCTTCCTTTCCAGAGCTCTCCTGGTGTCTGTGATGCTACACACTTCTGACAAATGGTCAAGTAATCCCATCTCCAATTCCTTACTATAGGGGGAGAGAGAGAGAGAGAGGTAAAGAGAGAGGGAGAGAGATGGCTATGCTTCGAGTTTGTAATACAAGCGGGTAAGTTATAAGGAAAGCATGATATTGTTTAATTGTTCCATTTATACAATCAAAGTGAAGCTGTGCAGAACAATGGAAGCTGTATCAATCATGCAATAATTGCAATTCTCAATTATTCTTGAATATTTGCGACTTTTATACTTAATTAAAAACATTTTAATCCTAGATTATTTGTTCATTAAGCTATAATTAATTTCTTAATCATTTCTTTTTGTGTTTTGTGATTATCTCCAGTCATTTTCTAGATTCTAAGTTGCAAATTAACTTTTTTCTATTTGCAGATAAGCATGAGACAAAAGCTTGTTCTTCACATCTGGAACTAATAATTCTCTTATTAATTTATTGTCACTAATCTAAATCTTTGCAGCTTTATGACTACTTTGTTGTTAATAAATTTCAAATGTAATTATTGTTTTTGCAATTATACACTTAACCTAATTATTACTTAACACTGACGTTCTACCTCTCCTTTAGGATGTGGATTGGTGAGAATTTGAGGAAAAGTATTACATCAGGACTCCTAATGTAGAGCTACGTAAAGAAACGCACGCGCTTTCCTGTGATCCAGCCCAGTAACATAGGGAAATATTCCTCCTATTTTATTCCGTGTTATTCAGGTGTTATTGTGGTGATATTGATATGTTATTGTGTAATTATAACACTGGGAATATTCTCAGAACACAATAACACACAAATACCACCACAATAACACTGAATAATACAGATTAACACGAAGGGAATGTTCTCCTGCTCTAAAACGATTATTATTTTTTATTTTTTTATCACCTCCACGTGACATCATTTAATTGGACTACGAACATAACTCTATCTTAGGAGTCCCGATGTAATATTTTTCCAGAATATTAAAAACCTTTCTTGATATTTCGCAGAAAAGTCCGTTTTTTAATTTCTTGTAAATTAAAAAATTTTGTTTATAAATTATTTATTTTGAACTATGAAATGATTTTACATAAATACCATCCAATTCCTATATATTTTATGTATGTAATACCTAAAACTGTTTTTTTAGATTTATACCCCCCAAAGAAATTACCACCATTTAAACTTCTAAAAAGCGAAATGCACCTTTCATGCATAGGTAGGGTGGTATGGTATGTAAATAAAAAATTAAAGTTTAGGCGTTAGATATGCAAATACATAGGAAATGAGTGGTATTTATGTAAGCGTGATTGATGGTAGCTAAATAGAAAATATATGTGGCTCTAAGCCGCGTGTTGACAACTGGTAAGTTGTATGGCAAGCATGATTTTCCTTAAAACTGTTCCACTTTTATGATCTAATAATACAGACAAAATGAAGCTGTATAACACAATCAAAGCTGTATCAATCAAGCAATAATTGCAAGGCTCAAATTTTCTTGAATACTTGCAATTTTCTTATTAAATTCCAGCAGACTAATCCTAAGATTTGTCTGATTATTATTTTATTTTTGGGGCAATTACATAAATTTCATATTTACAAATCAAGCCTCCTCTTTCGGAAAAAAATATTACATCAGGAATCCTCACGTAGAGTTACGTGCGGAGTCTAATGAAATCACGCCACAAAAAAATATTCTCGGTAACACAGGAGAATATTCCCCCCTCCTCTCGTGTTATTCAGGTCTTATTGGTTATTCATGTGTTATTATGTTCTGTTGGGAATATTCCAGGTGTTATAATAACACAATAATACATCAATAACACTTGAATAACATATAATAACACCTGAATAACACAGGAGGAATATTCATCTATATTGTCAGACTAATTTTTTTTTCTTCTCACCTTCAGGTGTGTGGCATGATTTCAAAATTTCCCTCTTTCATCCATTTTTCAAATTCTAACCAATATATCAAAATTTTTGGTAAAACTATATCCCATATATTTCATTTTTATCAAATTCTCAGTAGTAGCTTGATCAAGAGTTTGTAAATATTAATATTTTGGGTGGTATGTATGTAATTATCTCTTTGTTTTTATCATTACATATTTTCTAGGGTCTAATTTGCATTAAATTCAATGCTTGGTTTTTCCAGGCATGCATGAGTAGGGCCGTCAAAACGGCTCGTTGTTCGCGTATAGCTCATGTTCGGCTTGTTAAGAAGCTCGTGTTCGGCTTGTTCGCTAAGTTAAATAGCCGAACACGAACAAATATTTGTTCTTTCGTGTTTGATTCGTTGTGGCTCAAAATATTACAAATCAAGATATATATATATATATATCTTTTATGAGTAGTATTTTAAAAAAAATTAATTGACTACAAGGCTACAATGATTTATAATAAATTAAAAGTATTAATTAAGAAATAAAATAAAAATTATTAATTTAGATTCAAATGATGTTTTAAATCTTGCCCAATCCTTAACATTTTATGGCTGCATTATTAGGGTTGTCAAAACGACTCTTTGTTTGTGAATGACTCGTGTTCGGCTCGCTAACCAAACTAGCAGAACACGAACACACTTTTTGAGCTCGAAAGATAAACGCTCGCTCATGTTCGGCTCGTTTACACACCCATGCACAAGGGAAAGTCGTGCTCTTCACATGCCAGAATTAATAATTTTTAAATGATTTTATTATTGCTCATTTTTTTATTTCTCATCCAAATTTTTACTTACATACCACTCAATTCCAATGTAATTACATATGTAACAATTAAACTTTTAGTATTTACACATATACATGTATGTTATTTTACCTATGCATGAAAAATGCGCCACTTTTTAAAGTTAAAATAGTGGTCTTTGGTGTGATATAAGAGATTTTGATGGTATAAATGTAAAAAAATAAATTTTAGATGTTAGATATGTAAATATATAAGAATTAAGTGGTATGTATGTAAATGGCTCAATTGTAATTATAGTTTTTTGAAAGTATTTTGTCAACACTGGCGTTCCAACGACCCCTGTGAGGATGTGGATTGGTGAGAGCTTTACTTAATTTCAAATCTCAAAAACATTTAAAATAATATAATAAAGTTGAAATATCAAAAAAATATTAACACAATTTTATTATTTATATAAAAATAATTTAGGAGCAATCACACTTCTAAACTACATATAAAACACCCGAAACATTACTATTTATAGATCAAACATCCAGTCTCTTTCAGCTATTTTTCACATTCAACCCATATTTTTTACATATTTTCTAGGGTCTAATTTGCATTAAATTCAACGCTTGGTTTTTTCAGGCATGCATGAGTAGGGCCGTTAAAACGGCTCGTTGTTCGCGTATAGCTCGTGTTCGGCTTGTTAAGAAGCTCGTGTTCGGCTTGTTCGCTAAGTTAAATA